TGATAATTTCATAAATGTGAAGGACCATTTGTGATAAAAAGCCTTTATAAAATGGAAAACTGTTGGTCCATTCACTATAGATGTTGTGACAGTATGGATTGTTATTGAAGCTGCAAATGAACTTAGAGACAGGGTTAATGCTTAAATTTGATTGTGATTATTGCACATGAAATATTTTTGTCTACAACTTCAGTGAATGGCTGTTACATGGAGATCATTAAACATTGAGAAAGATCTAGGTAGATGCATGGCATTCTTTTTTCTTTGGCTTTATTGTATTACATAGTACATTTCATAATAGTGGTATGAACCCGGGACATTCAGAGAAATTCCGAATCCTAACCAATCTTATTTTAGAAAATATTTAAACTGAGGGAATGGCAAGCTCAATGGTCCATGCTTCACTATCTAAAAGCACATATGGTGGCTCTACCCTCTCAGACATTTCTGGTTCAAGTATCAGTAATTATAGGCTGTTTCCTGTTATCTTTCTCCAGGATACGAATGTGGAAACCTTCTGGAAATTGTAGCCCAGGAGTTCGGACTATATTTCCTCCTCTGATTGCTTCCCACCTGAAAATTTTGGATGTGAACATGTTACTCTCTCTCTCTCTCTCTCTGATTACAGGACATTAGTTCTTTCTTACCTGTACTTTGTGACTAAGCAATGGAGAAACACAGCCATCTCCACTTTAGCAAAGTCTGCTCCTACGCAGAGTCTCTGTCCGCCGCCAAAAGCCATGAAATCTTTGGATGCGCTATTTGTTTCCGTTCCCTTTAAATTAATCAAACCAACTTCATTTCAGTTTAGGACAGAGAATAAATGGTAGATTAGCTAGAACAATACATTCTTTCAACCTACCTTCCATCTCCATGGATTGAAGGCCACAGGATCGTCATATATTTCTGGGTTTAAGTGTACCGTTGTGTTACTAACCATAACTCCCCAACCTGCTGGAATGGTATATCCTACACCCACACCAAATGGTAATAATATGTCAAATTAGAATGATTTCCTATAACAGGAAAACAATACTCTATGTCATTCCTACATACCCTTGAAATTGATTTCCTTTAGCGCTTTTCGAAAGATGCATGGAGCTATGTTTCCCAGTCTAACCGTTTCGTTGATGAACTGCAAGTTGAAAATTTTAGTTTGTAAAACAGAGGTCTGAATAGAGTGGATTTCCTTTCAAGAACTGAAAGTGAAAATGTCAAGATTCACCTAAAATGTGAATGTCATTGATTTATATTCTTTCCATGTGAGTCCTGAATCAGCATTTTTCCTTTGTTTTAGAATCATTTCGTGCTCTTCCTGGCATAAGATAGAAAATGTTTGTAAGGTTATATATATATCATAAACTGTTTGGTAACACTTTGAGAGTTCAGACCGTTAATTGCTTTAGCACCAGAGGATGGTCTGATAGAAACTTGATGGCTAAAGTCATAGCAATTGAAGTTGTTTCAAAGCTTGCAAAAAGCAGCACAAACATTAAGTCCAGAGAAATCTCCTCTGTCAAGATTGTTCCCTCTTTCTCAAGTTCTTCAATCATGTAATCGAAAAAGTCGTTTGGCTGATCTCGGGACTTTCCTCGTCTTTCCCGTAGCATGTCTTTCAGCATTCCTATAGCCCTTTTCCTTCCCTGCATAAAAATTTGAAAGTGATTGAGACCAAGAGGAGAGACTACATTCTCAGAACTTTTTAGTTTTAAAGTCAGCTTTGAGGATCTAATTCAATGCCTCTTTGAGCTTCTGCCTATCCATGGAGAAATATGACCTTGTGAAAGGAAGAGACAAGTGTTGATTTACGTTTACCTGCAAACATTTGTGATAAGCTGTTCCAGGGATGTCCAAAGGAAAGGAGATCAATCCTTGTATGAATGCAACAAAGTTGTCCCTTAAATTCTCCGAGGACTTACTTGAATCATAGCTGATGAGCTTCTTTGCAGTGAGATCAAATATCATCTGCAAATACCAAATTAATCTGACTTCAAACAAGATATTAACTTTTAGTGAAATTTTATCAAAGAGAAGAAAGGTTAGGCTGAAAATTACACTTGCAGTTGCATCTTTTAGTTCTGTAATGTCCTGACATGACCATTGTTGTAATCTGCTGAGAGCTGCTTGTTCAACTTCAGGGATCATCTCTCTAAGGCTTTCGGGTCCGAAGAGATGCAGCATCATGTTCTTGAGATATTTGTACATAACCCCATGCAAGGAACCAACATTTTGCTTGCCAAAAATCTCTGTGAAGGTATCTGGGTACCAACTTTGAAACAAATTTCCCTCTTGTTGGAACACAAAGTAATTCAGATCCGGGTCCGTCGAAATAATAATCGGTCTTCCCACCAAATTAGTCCTGAAAATTGGTCCATATCTGCAAAGTCCAAAAATGCAGGATACTAGTAAGGAATATTAAAAACAAGTATGCTTGAAAAATTGACAAAGAAGTAGTTGTTATATATGGTATCAGAAACTTCACTTTTCCATCCTTTTTTTTTATGAAAGGAGGAATATCAGAAGAGGTGTTGGCAGTGAAGAACTGTAAGGTCTCGCCTAGCAGTGGCAATCCCATTGATCCCGGTGGAAGCTTGCCATGGCATTTGGGATTTCTCCACCTGTAAACCCAATGTGTGATGCTTATAATAGCTAATGCTGCCATGCACAGAGCCCACATTTTCGCCAAAGTATCAGTCCAAGTTCAGAGGTGATCTTTTACTGAAGATTATGTTACACTTACAAGATGAGAAGAGGTTAAATAGACAGGCCAGACCAAACTAATGTCACATCATGGCTCAAATTAGTTTGGTTTATGCCTCAAACTAGTGCATAGGCGAGCCAAACCAACCCACTTTGTGACCGGTTTGATTCAGACATTTTCTTTCACAAGCAATTAAGCATATATTCTAATATTCTTTTACGTGTATCCAAAGAAACTTCACACTGTTGGCAAAAAAGGAAAGGGGAACTTCGAATGCTTTAACCAGTTTGAGGGATAATTGAACTTCTTTTGTGAAACTTCTTTTGATCTAGATCCTATTTACCTATGTTGGTGTGAAAACTAGAATAGGCTAATTCCTTAATTAGCTGTTTGTTAATTGTAATTAGTATAGTTCACTTTTTTACCCAAGTAAGGAGGAGGGATGGCACAAATCCCTGCTGGGGCAGTTACCCGTCGGGTCCCCTATCCTAATGGGGGCAGATTTCAGGGCAAAACAGGTATCAGGTACGGGGATCCCCCGAACTTGAAAAATCCCCTATGGGTATGGGGTGGGGATGGTATTGGCATCCCCGTCCTCGAACCCGACCCAAAAATATAAATGTTTATAAATAAATATATAATTATAATATTTATGTTTAACCCTAAGTTAACCTCCCTATCCTAATTCTTCCTAATATATTTTTATCTATATATATAAAGCAAAAGGCAGAGAATGGTAAAACATTCAAAATACCAGAAATGTCCTTGGTTAATTCAAATATTAAGAATTGAAATGATTAATTAAATGAGAATAATATGGTAAATTCACATTTTTCATATTAAAAATTACAAATTAAAACAAAATCAAATAATAGGTCCTACTTTTATGGAACATAAGAGCATCCACAATTTTTTTTTGGGTGGGGGGGTATTTTCGGGGGTGTGTAAAATAGACTCGGCAATATTGGACACGACCTGTTAACACGACACTAATTCGCATGAAAATAACAGTATTTGGGTTGAGCTTAATGGGTCGGGTTGAAAATGGGTGGACCCGTTAGTCACCCGTTAAGCTAACGGGTCGTGTCAGTATCATTCGCGAGTCACCCGTTAACCCATTAAGAGCAAAGGGCATTTTTGTAATTTTCATTCTAAAATAACCTAGCTTGAATTGAAGCTTCTGTTATTCCCTCCTCAATGTCCTCACGCCACCACTGCTCTGTCTTTCTCTCAAGAGAAACAAAAGCTCTCTCTCTCTGTAGATCCAAACCAAACCATCAACTACCTTTCCTCTTCTCCAACAAAAAGGTATGAAAATCTCAAGTCATTTGAGAGTTTTAATTTTAATTTATGCATTATATTAGTACCAAAGTGAGATTGCCGTGTCTAGACTGCCATTTCTTTGTTGAAGTTGTCAAGAATCTGCAATTTCATAAGATGGTTCTGTTATGATGTTTTACCAGAAATTAATTCTGTTTGATAATTTCTATCATGGGTTTCTGTCTCTGAATCTCATCTGTCGACTCTTATGAATAGTCAATATCTCATGTCTTTTTCTTGCTGGAGGTTCTGGAGGGAAAGGTCTGCCTTTATCTACATCAACTAAAAACATGAGTTTTTCAAATTGAACTAATTTATATGGTTATGCTAAATGCTATGGTTAAAATAAAAAGTTTATTTTTCGTGGACTTGGTGCTGTTCCTATTTTGGCAAGATAGTATTTAAAATTTACACACTCTACCTTGCAGAAAGTGAATTATCTATTTGTTGTATAATGGGTTGTCTAAGGGCTAGTTTGGCATTGCTGTGCTGTGAAAATAATCGCTGTCAGATTTGCTGTGAGAGAAATCAGCTGTGAGAGAAAGCAGTTTGGCGTTTGGTAAATTTTTTGTTAAAAGTGTTGTTAGTATTGATTTTACGCATAATCAAAAAATGATTGCCGCATAATCATTAAACCCAGTGCCTCTTCGAAACTGATTCCTGCATAATCAGAAAATGAAAGCACCTCATTAGCCGCTTTCCCTTATAGCTTTCTCTCACAACAATTTTTAACAATAAATGATTTTCTCACAGTTTACCAAACGGGTTGGGCTTCTCAAATTTTTTAAAAAATCACTTATCACCCCAAATAAGCAATG